ACGTTCGTAATGAGTACGTTCGTTAGGAATAAGAGTTAATGATGTTGTGTTAATATTATTATTTGTATCAATACGGGCGAGTCTTTCCGTCGGCTCGTAGTGTGGTTTCACTATACGTTCTTTCGTAGCGAACATTTAATATTTCTTAACCAACATATGGCTATGTTCTGATGCTGTTATATGAATGAGAGTACTGTTACCTCTGATATTGCGTAAACGTTGTAAACGTTACGAAAGTATAATTAATAATGGTTGGATAATTGATAACTAATTGTTCGTCGCCCGAACAAAGACTGTCATCGTTACGTTCAACTGGGTATGGATAATGCTCATGTTGCGTAGCGGGGAATTAACGTTCAGTAAACAAAATCACACGGTGAGACAAAATTAATAGTATTATTAATAATAATAAACAAAATTTCGCATTTTATTATGTACTTTTTTATTTAACTTCATTAATTATTTAATGGTGAGAAACACAAATAATGTTGGAAACTTTATGGAATAGGTGGGGAGGCGTTATAGGAGAAAATATCGCAATGGCAAAGTAAGTATAATATTTATTAAGTCATTTTAATTCTCAACTTTTGGAGTATTATAAATAAATTTTACTATATAATTCTCAAATGTGTATCGATGGTTGATCTTCAAAGACGCAAAATCAATTTCGTCGTCGGTCACTAATAGCCCCAACAACCAAGAATCCAATGCTCATATAATCTACACGTATGTTAAAGGTAACTATTGCCAATGTATGTGTGAAAAATTGAGGTAGAATATTAAGTAGGATTTGAATATCGCATGGACGGCTGGCTTGATCCTTCAAAGACAAGACACGAAATCAATTTCCGTCGTCGATCACTAATACCCCAACGACCAAGGATCCAATGCTCATATAATCTACATGTATGTTAAAGGTAGCTATTGCCAATCTGTGTGTGAAAAATTGAGGTAGAATATTAAGTAGGAATTTGAATATCGCATGGACGGCTGCTTGATCCTTCAAAGACACAAAATCAATTTCCGTCGTCGATCGCTAATACCCCAACGACCAAAGATCCAATGCTCATATAATCTACATGTATGTTAAAGGTAGCTATTGCAAATTTGTGTGTGGAAAATTGAGGTAGAATATTAAGTAGGATTTGAATATCGCATGGACGGCTGGCTTGATCCTTCAAAGACGCGAAATTAATTTCGGTCATCGATCACTAATAGTAATAGTCCACAACCAAGAATAATACATAGTTACATGTAATAGCAATATCCAACAATGTGTTAAGTTTCAAAATGCAACTTGTAAAAGAATCCATTTGAACGCTCTCTTGCAACCTCTCCCCCATAACCCTAACCCTAACCCTCATCAACGAAATTGGGACTACAGCTTGGTACTTACATAAATTCTTTGTAGCTGACGCAGTTGTAGTAAGTTGTGTATCGAAGCATATAAGAGAAAAGTTTAGTAGCCTGCTAATAGAATAGTCTCAGATTTCACATTTTCCTCTCGCTTACCCACATATGTATGTATTACTTACGGAATCGTCTTTCGCTCATCTCTCAAAAACGGTTGCTGTAATAAACAAAGTGGTAGCAATTAAAAGTTGCTCATGACTATAACTCTTCAAAGTTTTTTTTTCACTCAGTTACCCCCCAAAAAGATAAATGAGAATCCTTGAAACGAGCTCTCAAATGGCGCTTTGCTAATACATTAGGGAATCTTCTTTCCCTCATCTCCCAAAAACGGCTGCTGTAATAAACAAAGTGGTAATAATTAAAAAAGTTGCTTATAAATAGCACTCGTCAGAATTTTGTTTTCGTTCAGTTATCCCAAAAACTGAACGAGAATCTGTTAAAACGCTCTCAAACGACGCTTTGCATGAGATGTAGTTGCATGGGCACGTGACTGTTGGACTGGAAAAAAAGTATCGACAATTAGTAAAACATCGAAGTAAAACATATGAAAAATCTATTTTTCGAAAAGTTCTATTGTACGTGTTTATTAAAAATTTTTATTAGTCATTGTAAGGGAGTTCTCATATGTGTAACATTGATACTGCCACTTCAACAAACTGCAGCTTCAGAGCGGTGATGGGGTTAAATATTAATATATCACTGTTTTTTCGAAACTACAACCAATTATCTTCATACCGGTACAAAAATCATCGTGACTTACATAGTAAATACGTAGGATAGAACTCTTTGAAGAAAAAGATTTTTCATATGTTTTACTAATTGGTTTGCTTTTTTCCGGTGAGTGTACATTAACCCAATGTCTCAGTGACTAATAATCCAGGTACCCCCTGGACCTCCATACAAAAAATATATTCCTTCACTAAAGTCGTAATAGATAGATACACCCTCCCCGTCCGCCTTTTTTTATGGGCTTTTATTCTCTTAATTTACAATGTAAAAGATAAAAACAGCTTAAACTGGGCTTTAACGAGCACCTCGTTGTGAATAAAAGTTTCTCGTGATAGGTACTAATTATATTATACTAGACAATATTGGTTGAGTTATTAAAATTCTACGCGTGGCTTATCCGCAGTAAATTAGTCGCTACTCCTTACCCTAATACTAATTGAAAAATTTTCACTCCGAAATGTCTTGTCTTATTTATAGAAACCAATTACGACAATTGCAATATTTTTATTATTATTATCGCTATCTGCTTGACAGCCTACGTTACATTTTAACCACAATGGCGTCGACTATCAACGCACGCATCTTTACACATACCACCGCTGATATAAACTTGCTTCATACGAGTTCTTTATTGAACACACATTAATCAACTAATTTCTTGTTATACATATTTAGTATGGTCTATAAATAAATGTTAACTATATTATTGTGATAAAAAAACTTTTTTTTGCAGATATCAGCTCTTCAAACAATGGTAGCCATAAGATCAACGCTTTAATAATTGTCGGCTGATTAAAGTACAAACAGTTTAATCGCTACATATAGAAGACAACACACAATGTACGTCATCATCTTCAATCGTTGAATTTCTATTTATATATTACAACAGATATCAAACAGTGCGTCATCATATGATAAACTCTTCAATAATGATATTAGTTAATAGTTTGTCGGCGATTAAAGTTGATTAAAGTTAAATTACTATTTATATATTACAAACAGTGCGTCATCATACGATAAACTCTTCAATAATGACATAGTTGATAGTTTGTCGGCGATTAAAGTTGATTAAAGTTGAATTACTATATACACACAACGGGCTATTCATCGCTCTTCATCATGTGATGTGTCAGATAATTAGATAGACTATAACGTTAGTAAGGAACCGGCAAGATGCTGAAGAGCAAAGAAAGCAAAGCGTAGCTAATACAGCATATTTGGAAATTAGAAGAAACGAACCTAATAATAAACACACTCTTTATGTAAATTGAGTTCGGCCGCAAATTATACAAACAATATTGTATTGTTATACATTAAATCCCCGACTCTGATTACATTCTATTGCGTCATATATAAATGGTCCAACAGTAACTCGATTGATTAACTAACTCTCTTACACGTCGGAGAAATGAATAAAACTTTCTACTATATTATAGGCGCTCTCGTCCTTCTTCCTGTTATCACTTTTACATCTTTTCCGTGGCTTTCTAACGTTCTTTTACTTATACTACAACTTCTCAGATATTATTGTAATATAAAGCCAAAGCATATTATGCCGTCTAATATATACCTACAACTTTTCATTCACAGCATTTTTATTAATACCTCGGCCTCGAACGATACTTCAGGAGACACTCCATTGAACAGTACCACACCCTCAACATCCGAAATTCTACCTTGCTTCAAAGGATTAGAAGAGGAGTGGGCAAAGCTTAATAAAGACGGGAGAGGTGTTTATCATTAATTTTGAATATAGCCAGTCCAGTTAACTGTATTAAAGGTTGATATATACTAATTACATAATAGATTTTCAGAGAGAAATTTGGTAGATAAAAGCAAACACTGGTTATAATTTGCAAAATACAGATGTATATAAAAGACTTATAAAACAAAAACATATAAATCCAATGGTACATACAAAAGAGCAAGTCTACTATTGGATGTCTGTTTATAAAAAAGATATTTACATCATGGATCAGGAAAATCAGCTTCTCTCAGCAAAAATGTATCTTGAACAGCCAATGTTTTCTGAAAAAGGAT